CACGGCAAGATCAAGCAATGTGCAGGAAAAAGTAAAGTCAAATTAACCTCTGGAAGACCTGTAGATGCAATTTTTTATGGATAAAGAATCAAGAAGAGAGACATGCCTGAAGAAGTGAATTGAAATAATTCCATTTTTTTTCCCAAGGCTACTGCTGTGGCAAAGACTGAAGAGTTTTTTTTTGTCAGCTCAATTGTTGATGTGATCTTTTCCATGTTATCAACATACTAGCAAAATCAAAGCTTAGACATTTGTCTGAAGGTTTAGCAAACATGCTGAAACCTCTTGACTTGGCCCTAGAGTTGCATCTGTGACTCAGTTGTATTTGTTGTCCTTTTACAGACTGAAGCCTGTGCAAAACTAATACAGCTAAAATAATATTTACAATTATGTAGTTATTTTCATCCCAAAGCTTAGGTAGGGGACTCAGGTACAGTAGGTGATGTGTAGCAGCCATTATACATCAGAATTGCCAGTATGCAGCAGATTGGGTAGAAAATAAATTGAATTCAATAGTTGAATTAAGACAGGATTTTAAGCTATCCTGACTGTGGAACCCGAGGGTGAAATTTATCCAGATTACCAAATAGTCAAGTTTTCTTGTTCGCTATCTCTGGGATTCATGGCACGATTTTAACCAAAGATTATATATCACTATAACGGGGCACTGATATGAAAACTGACCTACCAGCACTACTTACAGTGCATGTATTTACTTGGTTTTCCTTAGAGGTCTACCAGATGGGTGTATGTTGCTGTGAATGACATTGAAGAAGAGATAAGAAAACTTTCACAGTGATGAAGAGGGCACACTCCAAAACCAGAAATGAAAGCTTCCAGTACTAGGAAAGGGAGCTGTTTTGCCTGCAGGCCCTTTGTGTTTGCATGTGCTGGCCAGGCCAAGAATCATCAAGCAGAGAAATATGCACAGTGTGATCTTCTCCAGCAGGAATCACTTCACAGTCTGTCTGCTGCACCAGTTGAAAAGGTCAAGGTTTGCTTTCTGAGTTGCAAGATTTAGAAATGACAAATAGGAGAGGTCTGGGTTACAAACTTTATATCCATGTAAACCTACCCTGAGATATTTTACATAATAACTACTGTACTATTTTCATCAGGAAAAACAAGACTTTTCTCCACGTGTAAAGTGCATAGTTGCTCAATTATTTTCATGCCACACATTAAAGAATTCAGTCTTATAATGTATTCTTTCTAAATAAAAAGCAATTTCTTAACTCAAAGGAGAGGATTAGTTTGACTATCTGTAGAAAACAAATATCTAAATGCTTTATTCTAGGGAGGAGGTCTTGTTTTTAGCAAGGGTTGTATTAATTAAATATCTCTTAAAGCTTTAGAAATGTCCAGAAAATGTCCAGGATAATTTCTTTGCCAAGCTTCTTTTATTGATTAGAATTATAAAAAGTCCTGCTATTATCTGTATATCTGTATAGTATATGATCTGAAAGAGGCTTCATAATTGTAGCTGTGCTCACCCATGGTTTCACTTCTTTTGTATGATGATCGGGCATTATCTGTCAGGCTCCAGCTAGACTTGTCATTCTTTAAACACAACAGGGGAGAGATGCTTTTGGATAAGCTCAGGCTGAGATTCTGATGCTCTTGGCCTCTACACCTGTGCCCAAATACTATTGGCTTATTCAAGAGCCACAATCAGGAATATTGAGGAAAATTAAAGACTGTTCTTAGAAAAACAAATCATAGCCTTTCACCGTTGTGCCTGAAATAAAACAGATGGTTCTGAGTCACCTATTCAAGATTTATTAAATGCTTAGTACAGACTAGATCTATTAATCTTTCCATGATTTATATATTTTTTATAATTGTGCTTCATGCATTGCTTTGATTGTGAAGTGACAGCTTTTCTTCTGCCTGTATAACACAGAGGTCATTGACGTAGACATCAAAATGAATAAGCTATATTTTTATATATTGATTAGGATTTAGAAAAGTAACTTAAAAAATCCCTAACTTAAGAAGTTTAAATTAATATGATTCTTTTTATGTTACTGCTGCTGTCTGCAGCCCTTTAGCTCTACTGTACATTATACTGTCATAAGTTAGCATTTTAAAAAGAAAGTATTTATGGATCATATGAAAGCTTTTTCCTGATATGTTTTACTACCTGATTGCATTCTCATGTTCTCTTATTACCAGGATATCATTTTGCAGGTAAGGATTCTTTCTTACTAACATGAAAGTACCTATTAAAAACTGAGTAACTTAACTAATAAAGCTATCCCTTTGGAGCTAGAGTTGGGACCTAATCTACCACGTACTGGCAGTTCAAGTCCACGTTATTCCATTAGGTAAGGTTAGGCCTCAAGTCGAGGCTCATAACTGCTTGAATATCTTGAGGGTGGTTCTAGTTTCCTAGACACACCTGTGACTGTGAAATACTGGGAATTGTTGGGTACCTTTAAGATCACAGAGTTGTCTGTTATGGACTCATCATTCCTTCAACCCACAATAATTTTCTTGTACGCTATCTCTGGGGTTCATGGGACGAAAACTGGCAGATAGTTTTCATTTCCATAGGAAAGAGCATATGTTCTTTTCTCATCCTATCATGGTACAAGAGTCATCATGATGGGCCAAGTCAATTATTATACAGAAATACCAAATTAGAAAACTAAATTAAAAATTAAAAATTAGGGTAATTTCCAATTTAAAACAAGAATTTTGGCAATGGTACAGTATATATAACTTTTAGATTATAGTCCACTTAAATCTTATGGTGTGGTATATTTAATTTTTTAAGGAATATTAGGCCTCTATGCAACTACATGTTAAATACATTTTCATGTTTAAGTGAAATTAGAAACTACAGGAAATATTTACTGACTTCCATTTGATGTGTTGAGGACCTTTTCAACTGAGATGAAAACTCAGCAGAAGATATTATGTTACCTATTCATATTCATCTAAGTAAACATTCCTGAGGGTGCGAATCAAGTGTATTCAAACAGAGGGAAGAACAACACATGGATCTGAACACCAGGAATCAAACATCCAGCTGAGAATACTGAAATCATGAAAGCCAAAGTTACTAAAGTCTTTTTTTCCCTTGCTGTGTAAAGTAAGTCGATCTGAGTGTGGAAAAAAAATAAATATTTTATTAGATTCAATGAATGGTAATTCCAGCCTCTTTCCTTATTAAAGAAAGCAAATGATTGCAGCTACAGGAAAGATGATGCTTAATGGACAGACCATTTGGAGACAAAACAGATGAAAGTTCACATTCTTCCATTTAGCAGGGAATACAAGTCTTTTGAAGAATGTTTATGTAAAGTAAAACAGAGTAGAATGATACTGTGGAAGGATTCAAACTTTAAAAGCTTAAGTTTTCTTTCTATTTGAGTGGCTTTTGTGACATTCAGTGATCCTGTTTCTGAAAAGGTTTCCTCAGCTGGGCTTACTGGCATACTGTACCTCTGTAATTAACTAATAATGCCATGAAAGAAGGTATAGGTAACGTGTATTCAGCTTAATCTAGAAATCCCAATGCTTTAAATGGCCATCACAACATTTCTACAGGCAATTGTTATGGCAACAGATGATGTAAAGAAAAAATAGAACATGTTATTATAATAAAACTCTTTAATAATTAGTAATTGCTTACATTTGTATTTACATCCAGAAGAATCCACAGCACTTCATTTGTGTGGAAGACAACTACTTGATCTGCCACAGGAGTGCTAAATCCACCTGGGTTATGCATGACAGCTATTCACTTAACTGCAAATCAGGTGGAGAATTAAACATTTGAATTAAGGGGAACATTTAAGGAGACCAGATTGTGCAAGCCTAAAGTGGTATTAGGCAGGACACCAGGGTAACACCCCCTCCTACCCTTGTGATCAACGCCATGGGATCTTTAATGGCCAAGCAGCCATATCAGCAGCATAGTTAAATATCTCCTTAAAAAGGCTCACAACTTTAGGAACAGTGTCATCCTTCACCATGCTGGGGCATTGGTATGGAAATTCAGATCTTCAGGTCAGGTCTACCAGCATACAATATTAGGTCAAAACTTAATTAGCTTCTGAGATCTTCTGAGATGAGACTAGAAGATAGTAATACCATTTTCAATATTTATAGATCTATGTGAAGTGTACAGAAGACTTGATCTGTTGTGTCCTGCAGATGTGATCTGTTAGATGTTTGTCCAGTAACAGACCATACCTGCCTCTTGCAGTTCACTAATAACTGCAGAATAGGAACTTAACTGATTGGAATCCAAGAGTTTACCCGCAAGTCAAAATCTATTAAAAACATAACAAAGAAAGGTTACTGTACAAATGACACAAAATGATTTGGCCTTGGTAGATTGGTTGGTGTCTACTAGATAATTGATCTGATGATTTCATTCAGAAGTTTTCAATAGAAGCCAAGGCATCAGCTTCATGAGATAAGTTGGTAACGTGTTCCACTCTCACAACCCCTCATGTAAAAAACTGCCTCCTTTGCTCGATTTCTAAATTAAGGTCCCTGTAGTCCAGTGCATGTACAGTAGAGTAGTGCTGTGCAGTCATTGTGCACTGTGTTTTTTACAGATCAAAATTATGTATATCTTTACCAAAACTATGGGGAATAAAGATTTCCTTAAAACATGGTGGGGAAATAATAATTAATAGTATTGTACTCTTAAAACCTGAATGCTTAAAATAACTGTTTGAGCAAGAAACTGAGGAGCAATGCACCAGAGAGCTTTATACCAGACCGTTTTCAAAACAATCTCATGCTTTTCCACTTAAGGTGATTGTAATGGCTGAAAAACTTGAAAAACTGAAACAATAGTTTTAATTAATGTTTTATATTTTTGTTTTAGGTCAGTGATTTTACTGTTCTGGTACACTCATGTGGATTTTTTAGAGCATTTCTGCGCTGTGATAATATCCCTGTCGAGGCTCTGGGGTTTCCAAAGGAAATTGAATGTGGTTCTGAATAGTCTAACTGTGGGCTTTCTTTGTCTCCAACAGCTGAGGGCGCATGCAGTGGACATGAATGGTATCAAAGTGGAGAATCCCATTGATCTCTACATCTATGTGATAGACATGAATGACAACAGGCCGGAGTTTCACAACCAGGTCTACAATGGATCAGTGGATGAAGGATCTAAGCCAGGTAAAAATATAATAATAAAAACTCTTTGAGCTATGAGCTTGATGGAAGACTTCCACTTTTCCTGCAGATGTTGTTGTAAAGATATTTGTGAAACAGAACCGTGTTTTATAGAGCCTGCTGTTATACCTTTACCGATCATTGCTTAGCAATTGTTTGCTTGTATAATAGTATGATTGAAGGGGCTCTTTTTATAGAACAAATCCTAAATGTATCTATAATGTCCAAGTGTCATTTACAGCTTTAAAAAATAGGTAATGTTAGAATCATCATCACTCACTGACAGTGCAACAAGGTATCCCAGTAGGAGATCTTATAAGACCTGTCTGCTGAATAGGATCCTACCCTGTACTTTGTAATCAGTAACTTAATCAAGATGAAAACCAGTTAAAGAGATTCATGCACATCATAATTTTAGACAGGATATTACATGAGCAACAAACTGAGTAGCAATGCGCCAGAGACTCTTATACCAGCCCGTTTTCCAAACAAAAGTTTAAAATAATGTCATGCTTTTCCACTTAAGGTGATTGTAATGGCTGTTTAGGGAAATTATCATCTTAAGGAGAACTGCATAACGTTGTGTTATGGAGCTTTAAATTAACAGCCTAAGCTATTAAATCCATTTGGTGAATGTATAAAATTTGGTCTCAGGATCCTACATTGCGGAATCTAGAGTTTTGTTGCAGGCTGGTAAAATTGCCTAGAAAAGCTCCCGACACATCAATGCACACGCTCCTGCCTGACAGCAGTCTAATGCAAGTTCCTCAGGCATAGACCCCAGGCCCCTAGTGACTCCTGACTAGTACACAGAATGGGGTTCTTTGAAGCAGACTTTGCAGCTTTGCTGAGTTCAGCATTGGGAATGCCTTAGCTATGTTTTCTTCAAGGTGCTTTAGCTCATATACACACTTACTCTACCTCACCTGAAGAAATTGCTCATTTCCACACATTAATTGGACCTTTGCTGGAGGCTATCAACAGGAAGCTGAATTTGATTTGTTTCTGTATTTTTTTTACCTTAGTAATTCTGTTGACTTGGGGAAGAATAATTTGTGCACTGGCTCTTTTTATTTATGCATGAGGGTTTATAACTTTCATTTTCGTTTTTGCCATACTGGACACCCTATATTCCTATGTCCAAAATTAATCTCCTACAAAGGGTGTTCAAAAGGTTTTAAAAACTAACATATACAACATCAAGCAAAACAAATCTCCCCGTTTAATCCACAATGTAACCATAGTTTATCTCAACAACCTTTGCTATTCTGAAGGACATTTATCCTTCAGGTTTGCAAATCTCTGATAACAGCTCTTCTGTCTTTTCCTTTAACTGCTGGTCAATGGCATTCATTAAGGAAAATTCATCCTGAAACCTTGTACCACACAATGCAGACTTCTCATGTTAGAACAAGTAGGCCACCTGAGACTAAGACAAGGCTTTGGGTCTTAACCTTCTTTGCTGAGTGGCAGCCTGTGCAACCCTAGGTCTGAGAACTTGTGTGTTGTCCATATTTAGTGCATAGTATTGACTGGCTCTGTAAGTCAGCATTATATTGAGCAGTGATTAAATTTTGTTTGGCAAGTAATTGCTGAGAAATACCTATATTGAATCACAGAAGATGCTTGACATAATCGTCATAGGCGTGCATTTTATTAGGGGTTAGAGATGCTGGTCCTTCCACTGCATTGATTGAATCTTTGTCTCAAGATCCTTGCAAAGAACCCATTGTCACTAGCAATCAGACAAGATAACTCAGCTAGAATTGTGTGAAAATGGACTTCACTTTCTGGTAGTGATCACATGAGCCGAGGCCCACAAAGACATTTAAATGAAAATTGAATCATTGTCTCTAAACACTTTCGGGGTTATTCAGAAAAATAAAAAAGTCTGTATTGCCCTGCTAAAACTCTGTGGTAGCATTAAATAAACCACTGTGATGATATTTACAGTAATATGATGATCACATCACACAGGCACATGACAAATTACCAGCAAGTGTCAAGTAGCCAATAGAGTCGGTACAGTATACAAATGAAAGTACCCAAGTCTGATGACAAAGCTGATTGTAAAATGTATGGAGGTAATAGGTTGCAGAAATCACATTAATTTCACAGAAAGGCTAAGCTGAAACTCTGCACTTAATAACTTATTATTCGAAGAGAGTACTGTAGCTTGAAAAAAAATTCAAATAAAGTATATGTATTTGCTCACATGATTTGAAAAATGTGAAACAGGTATTATTATCAAGACTGTAATTATCCTTGGTCACTGTAGTGACAAGTAGGAAAAATGTGACTGTTTTCATATTTTGTTTGTTGCATTCAGAAGTTAAAAAGTGCAAAAATCCTAAATACTTAACAGCATATTACAGTAATCCATTGGTACATGCTGATCACGATTACTGTATTTCTCAACAGAGAAGCTGAAATGCTTTTTAGTTACACTATTGTTTCACTGTCCTGAAAAAATCAAATTAGTTTTTGATTAAATGCATAAGTGCAGATTCCTGCTGTGAAATAAACAACTTGGGAATCCAAATATTCAATATTTCAATTATAACAGAAGAACGGTTGCAAACAAGAGGAAGCCTTTCAGTCATCTAGCCCATTTGGTTGTTAGCAGGTAAATTGATCTGAGGGTCTCATCCAGCTGCTTTGTGAAAGAAGCCAAGGTATCAGCTTCAACAACATGTGTCTGGGTAGCTCGTTCCAGTTACCCATGAAGCTTTGCGTTAAAAAGTGCCAAACATTGTCAGAACAGACATTCCCATTCTGTTCCTGTTCCCATTCCATATAAAAGCCACATGTTGAGATAAACATGTGAGGCTGGGTAGGTTTCAATATAAACTAGCCGACAAAATGGGTAGTAGAGTACAGACCTTTGCTCTCATATTTCACTACAATACTTCATTTACACAACAACAAATACGGTATATATAATACATTTGGATTGTCAAAGACTTTTGAAAGATCAACTCTCAAATTACAGGTGGAACTGTAGGCAGTCAGGGAAACACGAATGTTTGGGGACTTATTGCATAGAAAATAATACAAATAATTGGTGATTAAGTGAGTCAATATAATATTGAAATAACACAGGGATCTGAACTAGGACCACTGCTGTTCCAATACCAGTTTGTTTATACCAATAATGTAGATACTGGTAGAGTTAATAAATGGGTCAAATAGAAGAAATTAAAAGAAAAGAAGAAAATAAAATTCAACAAGATTTAGATAAAATTCAAGACTAGGCAAACACCAGGCAGGTGAAGTTTAACAAAGACAAGTGCAGGTTTTTGCAAGCAATCAATACTAAATGGTCAATGCTGAATGGTGAACTAAATGCTAGTTATTTAAATTGAGACATCAATTACATCTTCAAGACATAATGGGGAATTACAATAAAGCAAAAAATGTTTGGATACATTGTTAAAAGTATATGATTTAAATTAAATGATGTTATATTCAAATTATAAATTGTAATTGTTAAACCTCATTTAGAATACTGTGCACAATATTTTCACAGCATTATATAAAGATTATTTCTACTGAACACCCACCAATATATCTGGTAACATGATTTCTGCACATTTAAGAAGATTCTTTTGAGGATTTAAACTGACGTGGCAAAGGCATAGTATTAAAGTGCTTTTTCTAGATCACAATATCTCCTATTGGTTTTTCTCTCACTAGCTTTATTGCCTTTTGGTGATAAGATGAAAGCTTCAAAAGATCGATATCTAAGCCAAACTTTGGTAGAAGCCTTTTATAAAGTACTACATGTGGTTTTATTCAAGCTTAAATGGAAGAGCAAAACCTACAGGAACCCCGTATAGAACATACTGTATATACAGTAGGCTCTTTGATATATTTTGTATATATCATGCAGTGATGTGTGCAGGATCGATTTCTGAAAGACAGAGAGGTAAGTTAGAGATCAGAAGAAAACTTTGGGCTAGTCTGACAGCAAATGGCATGTCTTGAAGTACCCTAATGGTTCCTCCATAAAGAGCAAAGAGCTAAACAGAGGAACATGATCTTGTTGTCAAAAAGCTTGAATGTGTTCATGGACAAGAAAAACAACAAAAGTAAAATATGTCATACGTTCAAGTGTCTTTTGCACGTTAGTAAGATGTTTGGGAAAGGTGCACTGTGGGGTCCAGACTAGATAAACTCTTTGTCAGGACACACTGCTTTGCAGCAGCAAAACATTCATCACTACATTCGACGCTGCCTGGAGTCTTGAGTCTCCAAAAACTTGCTTCTATCATGGTGGATTGCGAAACCTATTGATCGCCCTTTAGGTGGGCAAGTGAATGTCTCCAAGTCAGTCTCACTGCTCTTCATCCCTGAGAGGAAGTAAGGCACAATGTTTTACTGCATGTTTACCTTGAGCTTGTCTTTCAGCCTTTATTCAGAGTTTATCGTGTTTGATTTTTTTGAAAATGTATTTATATTTTCTCTTCTTAGCAAATAGAGGAAAGACTTTTTAAAAGATAATTAAGAAAATTGTTTTAGGGGCTTCAACCTCTTATAACTGCCAAAGGTCTTGTTAATTCTACTTTCTGAGGGAGAATTGTTTTATTAAGTGAAAAGCATTGTTCAGCTGGTTAAACTCTTTCCTTTTCCTACTGCATATTGTATTACTACATAGTCAGGTTTCATATGAAAGCAAAAGACTTTGAGAAAGAGAATATCATGTAAAGGACAACACAAATGCAAATCAAAAACTCTAAATATAATAACCAATGATTTCCATTAGATAAAGCTACAAAATTGTATCACATTAGCGCAGTGCTTTCATCAATATGACCCTTTGTCTTTTAGGCTGTATCAGACAACTTATTCCTTGGTTTATTCCAAAAGACACTCAACCTTATCTGTGGATCAAACTTATAAATCCCATCCCAGAGGCTTTCAGGCAGTCACTGGACCATTCAGTAGCGGTAAACTGAGAAGCGAGATAGTGCTTAGCCATGTGAAAAAGCATCTCTGGTTCACAGCTTCCCCCTCTCCAGTCAGACGTCAGTGTAGTGGGTTTCTGGCTGGACGAGGTCTCGTTTGGCCCTTTCTCCTCTTCTGTTCCTTGAAAAAGAAATTTCGTTTCAATCCAGTTCATTGCTGCTCGGGCGCTTTGGCACATGCAAAGACCTCATGGAAAAAAGGAAGCACACACAGGTATTTCTTTCTTTCATGGTGCTCAGTTTTTTTAACTTTTAAACAATTGCTTTTGAAAGACGTTTCTAAAAACATCCAATATGTTGTCATAGAGGCATACATTCTTTTCAAGTAGCTTTTTGGTGCTGATTTTCTAATACCGTATAAGAACTTTTCAAAATCAGGCATAAGAGATATTTATATCCATACCACACAGTGGCACCTGGTGGTACAATAGATTTTGTTTATTTTTTTGCACAGCAGTAGGGGGTTAAAAGCCACAATTTAAATAACAAACATCTATTTGTCCAACACGAGTCTACAAGGCACAGTTACAGAGGGTCTTGTCCTTAAAATAACCTTCCCACTTTTAACCGACCTAAACTGTTGTCTGTTGTCTGATCTTAAACAGCACTTACACCAGAGTGAAACACCTGCTGTATTAACACTGAAGCCTGGCTATAATGCTGCAGTTGGTGCCTTTTTCACCGCTCTCAGCCTAGCAGCTGAAATTGTTTTCCTTTTGGGTATTCCATTTTAGTACACACTTGTGCACATTTAAGGAAGACACCCGTCATTGCACAGGGCCAGCAAAGCAGAAACTGAAGCAGCTTTGAGCCGAGAAATAATACCACAGCCCAGCGAGTCCGTGTGGCTCCATCCATGAGATGCATATGAATTATAAAAGTTTGAATTTTGAGCTCCAGCGATTTGAGTGGAAAGCCAATTACAGAGCTGAATTAGTTTTCAAATTAAATAGTAATTTAAGGGGCTGAGAAATTAATCCTTTCAGGCGCATAGTAGCATTTTCACACCCACCCATACAAAGGAGCCAAGATTAAGCGTGTTAAGAATTTCACTTAATGAAATTAATGAGTAGATGTTTGACACGTTGTGTTCTGCATTCCCCTTTTGATGGGGAAGGAAGAGGAAGGGAATGTGAAGTTGTCTAAACATTGATCTGGCCCCTTTGAAACCGGCACTGTATTGAGCCGAGTTTCTCTCTGGGCAAGTGACAAATCTTGCTTTGAAATTTAATGAAGTTTGAAATAGAAGTTGCAGTTACAGTAATAGTGTGGCACGGGGTGTTACTGAAATGATGGTGCTATCACTTGCAATTAGATTGCAGCTGAACTAACAGCGCGAACTGGCCCTGTCTCGCACATCTGTTTGCTAACGTGAATGTGAAAAAATCCCAAATAGAACAGATAGCCTGATTTGGTTGTTATCTAGTCATTACATTTTGTTGAGGGACGTGAGGTTCTGCACTGAAGTTTTCTAAGTGTGGCCAAAGCCATGGAGAGCTCACAACCCCTGTAACTCTGAACGTGAGGTTAGGATAAAGCTTCATCCATTCTCATCAGCCACCTAACTAGAATTCAATATGATGTGTAATGTGTAGCATTTGCTGAATTGAGTAAGCAAACCTCCCAACAGGGTGGAGGCAGGTGTCAAAAACTAAAAATTCTTGCATTCATCAACATTCTGTTCGTGACCTGTAATTAAAAAATGTAAATTGTAAAATGAGAAACAAAACATGAGAGAACTCGGAGAGAATCGCCTGCTGAATAAAAACATCTTGTTTCACCACCATTTATTTTTTTAAGCATGAGGGTGGGATCTAATTTTTTTTTGTTTGCTTTACTATGAAATTGTAAAGCAAAGACAACAGAGAAAAATTGATGTTTTAAGGAATGCAACTGCAATATACTGTAGTACAAATCTCAAATGTACATACAGTACATCTAGCTTTGTGACATATAAAATAATACATAGTAAAACCTGGATGATCTTGTTCTTTATTAGGATCCTACGTGATGAAGGTGACAGCAAACGATGCAGATGATGATACAACAGCCAATGGGATGGTGCGATACAGGATTCTCTCCCAATCCCCACATAGCCCTATTCCCAACATGTTCACCATCAACAGCGAGACCGGAGACATTGTCACAGTGGCAGCTGGGCTTGACAGAGAGGTAGGTCTGCAATCTGGTATGGGGCAGAGTGACAATGCTCAGATGATTTTTGATTTACGAAAATCAAGTCATTTTTTACCACCTATTGTATCAATCACACGGGTGTGGCGTGATGGAACATAATATGTATCTAATGAAGCTTTACAATAGATCAAAAGTCTACTAAAACTCTGTTTAGGTCTGAATGCCCTCTCTTATTCATAACCTTCCAACCCATTCATTTTGTAACTGCTTCAACCAATACAGGGTCGCGAATTAAATGGAGCTCATCCCAGCAAGCCTAACCTTCCAACCACATTAGATAATAAAATGAAAAATGGGTCATCCCAAAAATATTGACTGTAGTGCTAGACAATAAGCCTACATCATACATTTCACAAATATGATGTGTTGCCTGTATTATTTTAGATCAACAGTGTACATAGTGACTTTCATTATTATAAGTTGTCATTGTTTAACAAAGCTTGTCATTTTTACAAAATAGACCAATTTACCAGCAGGGAATATTCTACCATTATAATTGAATTGTCACCATGACAAAACTGTTAACAATATGTCAACATCTATCCATTCTGTATATCAAGGATGAATGTGGCATCTGTCAATGAATACGTACTAAGTTATTGCCATGTCATGTGCTAAACCATTGAAATTCCCTTAGCTGTTTTTCATATGATAGTGTAGATAATCTGGTATTTGCTGTTGGCTTGACAGGTGGTATAGAACCTTAGCTGCTGTTCATTTTCTCAGCTTTTAATGCAGTTACAGTACATGCACTGGACAGCTGAGTTCTATACACAGTTTTTCAACAATGGATATGAAAAGAATGTGCAAACAGGAAGCACTCAACATTTTATCAGCCGGTTCTACAAACACCTTGACACTTAGACTAACACCTACTTTTAGAAAATATGTTAGAAGATCTGTTATTTATGTAATTTGATCAAGTGGTGTGTGAAAATCCATATTTTTGCAGTTCAAGAGTAAAGTAACTCAGAAATTGCAACTAAAGTGTTTTGAAAAAGAAGTTTCTGTGAATTAATATCAAAACCATATGTCTGTCAGATTGCATAAACAGCAATGTAGAGATTACAAGGGCAGAGAAACCATAGATACTGTAGCTACTGTAGTCAGATAGATGATATATGCATAACCCAGTATTAGAAACTTTAATTCCTGATAAATAGATGACACATCTATATTTCTGTTTTTCTGTAACTCTCTTTTGTGTACCTAACATCACATCCTCAGCTGGAAAAACACAGTGCAAGTGAAATATCATGTCAAAGATTGTTGAATTGGGAGGAAGACAAATAACCGGACTACAAATTTGGGGTTTAATATTCAAGATGTCTCCTCTAAACGTAAAATCTCAATATCAAAACTCTTCAAAAGAAGATTAATACCAATGGTGTATTTTCCCAGAGGACCAATCCACCTCTCTTTTAAAATTCCTAAATACAATAGAGAATGCAATGGATCACTGAGCAGCCCTTAATGAGAGATTTTGACATTTCTACAGCACCTGTTTACCTCGTGAAGTAGTATGCTGGGACTCTTCAAATGTCAAAAATGGATATTTAAACTTCCTGGTGCTTCACAATGCAGTGAGGCTGTGAATAAGACATTTATTCATTTATGTACTGCATTACTTTGTCCCATCATGTTGACTCCTAAGATTAGAAAGAAATTAAGTTTGCACTTTTAGACAATCTGCAGCAGAAAAGTACTGGAGCATATCAAGTTGGGCATGGAACATTCTGAATAAAGATTATTGATTGTTGTTGTTAAAAATAAAGGTGTAATACATTGACCTTAATTATTTACTCACAGCCATTTCCTCACAGAGATTAAACTGCTTCACACACTATCCCATGTGCCTCATCCTTAATTTCCAAAATAAATACATTATTTCAAGAGACTGGTTTCCTGATAGCACATATGTGAAACCAATTAATTAAATATTCTGTGTCCACCAAAAAGCACTTTTGTCTAACTGGTTTCGTACAGTTTGAACATAAAAAACTGTAAATCAAGGTGAGTGATGCAGAATATAAAAGAAATACTTGCATAATTAATGCTCACTAGATTAGGTCATCTAGTGGTTCTTCCATCTGAAACATTTAGATCTTTTCAATTGTGATATACAGCTCCCTGCCCTCAACCGGACTCCATCCCCGTAAATGACTTTCAAATGACCAGAATGTCTGCAAGGCTGATCCCCATAATAACTGTTTCTCAGACAAGCTAGCCATCCTCTTGAAACTACTGTTATCTCAAATCATGTCTCTGATAAGGTGATAATGGGCTCTGTATCACTCCCAAATCCCTATAGAAGCCTATTTGTATTGCTGTATATTCAGACAAGATAATGATTGTCTTGTTCATGGCATAAAGGAAGCAAACTGCCAGAAACAAACAGAGTAATTGAAAACAATCATATGAAATAGACTTCTTAAGCACACAGTCTTGATTCTAGTTGCAAAACATAAATATCCAGAAAAACTGTTAAGGCAGTGTTTATCTAGCTGAGATCATTAATGAAGGATCTCAAATAAAGGCCAATATCCATTTTTTCTGTACCTCAGTAATTCAGTAGCACCTGATTAAGCGATACAGTAGTGCCATCAGAACTGCGGCTTTTCATTAGATTCAATGATAGATAGTGTAGATGTGCATGAAATTAGAATGCTAACGGATGAAGACACTTGACTTGCAACAATGTTTTTATTTGCCTTCTTTTGATCTTTTGATGTGACTGGCACTGCCTCACCTAGCCTTTTGTGAGTCATGGTTTCCCTTGCATACAGCACCACCCATTGGCTAATTGATGTTATGCTGTCATTTTTCAAAGTGTCGCATAAAGAGCTTAAACAGGTAATACAGCACTGGCCTGGCAACACTATTCAGATGCTCCTTGTGATGGAATTACAAAATGATGCAGACACAATTTTGTAAACGATATTTTATGGAAAACCTGAATGCTCGGGTTAAGGATTTCCAAAGATTTGTCAGTCTGCCGTAAATGTCTGCAAAACTCTAGAGAAAAAAAATCAAATATGTTCATTGAACACTATAAGTATTCAGACCTGTGAACTCAATATCTGTTGGAAGCACCTTTGGCAGCAATTACAGCCATATGTCATTTTGGAAATCAATAGGATTCAATTCAGGACTTTGACTGGGCCACTCAAGGACATTCACTTTCTTATTCTAAAACCACAACAGTGAAGCACTGGCCTTGTGTTTTGAGTAATTGTCCTGCAGGAAAGTGAGTTTTTATCCAAGTTTTACATCTGAGGTGGGTTTTCCTCTTTTCGTCTAACAATTGCCACTACTTTACTCTATGTTTTTATTACAAAGCAAGTATAACACAACACTGCTACCACCGTGCTTGACAGAAGGGATGTAATTAACTGAGTAATGGACTATATGGGGTTTTCATCAGATGCATTTTTTTTTAATTTAGACAGTTTAACAGTTCCAGTTTTGTCTTGTCTGAGCACGCATCATTTCCACGTTGCTTGCAGTATCACTTCAAAAGAGTTTGTTTGCAAACTCAACAAAGTCTGTAACAAAGATGCGTTGTCAGTTCTCCAATAGAGGCCAACTTTGTGAAGTGAAATATTGCAAACTCATGCACATTTTCTCCTATCTTATCCACTGAATTCTGTAGCTCTTTCAAAGTCACTGTACTGTTTTTTTTAAGTTTTAATTAATTCATATTATTTGAAAATGTACTTCATACTTTGAAAACCATGTAGGCATGTGACAATTTAAAATACAAAAAATACTTTTTGAAGTGCTTCAAATAAATCTGTGTTCTCAAATACTGGTTTTTAGTTAGTTGATATTCTGTATATACATTGTGTGTGTATAAATACGGTACGTAATGTTATTTTTTACAAGCTTTATATACATTGTTTTTTTATGTATTCAAAATACAAGTTCTTTTTCTCTAAATGTGTATGTACTACATATCTTTGAATCTCATATACCACATCTTTATAACATTTCATATGAAAACTATACATTTATCTTCACTGGTTTAATTGACCCTCAGAAGTCACTGTACCACTGAACATAAGGTAACTTTATGAGTTTACTTGTCACAAGAATATCCCAAGCAGAATAAAGCCTCATTATTCTTCACTTATATCTGGATTCAGTCTCATTTTTGTTTTGTTTTTTCCCCACAGGACATGCAAACAGCTTGTCCAAAAACATAAATAAAAACTACATTCCGCCTCCAGTAGCATTTGCTCTGAACAAAATGTCCCCTGGTGATGGGAAAATGAACCATCGAAAAATGAGGCAACTTTCCCTTCGTTTAGAGTTTAGCTCCACCGCTCTCTGTCGTTTTGGTTAATTTGAAATGTTAGCAAACCTATTTCATCTTCTGTCTGCTGATAAAGTATTCCCTGCATACTCACAGACAGGACTGGCTGAACATCTTTGATGTCATAAAAAATGACTTAAATTCCTATTTAGCGGTTTACATGCTGAAATCCATTAAGAGGACAGGCCAGTTTGACAGTAGCAACTAGATCTGGGTGTTCACTCCTAGGGACACCAAACTGGCTATAAATGTCTGGATTTGTTTCTTGAATACAGACTCTCATGACATTAGCAGCTCCATGTGCAAAATGTAACACATGAAATAACTGGTACTTTTACTTTTTAGAAAAGCCAAGACAAAAGGATGTGATGATTTCTGACTGCTAAAAGCATTTGGCACTTATCAGTAAATGCTACCAAAAAGGCATCCCCCAGGGAATTCCACTTTTAAAACAGCATTTATTTAGTTTGTTGTCAGCCAGGGAGACAGTCTGCCTACACGGCAAGTGGTCCATGCTGCTAGGGTCAGGATGAGACATCTTGAGGGTAAATAAGTCTGATCCTGAAGTGCAGAGGTGAGGGCCCACAGGTGCTTTCTTAATCGCTTCAACAAACAGCCAGGAGAGCCTGCAGATTGTCCCTGCATCCCCGTGTGATCTTTT